AATACTTGTAAACCAACACAAAGTTAAAAGAACTATTCGACATTGTTGTGTTCGATCTCAGATTTTAATTACAAAAGTCCAAATTACAATTATTTAAAGACTGTTGATCATCAATAAATTTAATTAAAAATAAATTATTTAATGTTTTGTGTGATAAAGATATAACTATATGGAATAAGTTTATTAAATTAAGTGTACTTAGTCATTTCGATGGGACCAAAACACAACGGAGAGCTTTAATAGGATTAATACTAACACTACTAACGTAACAAAAACATTAAATGACGACAGTTTGTATACAACTTTAGCGGTACGTCCATCATATACTTGAAAAAATATGTAAATAATTACGTGCAAAATCGATTAAATTTTAGTTACACACTACTCGTATGCAGCTACTTCGGTTCTTTTTTTTAATTTAATTTTATAGCTCTAGGCTTTAAAATTTGCTCAGAGCGAAAAGGAATATCTTTTTAATAATGGTACATATACTATACGCGACAAATAGAAAACGAATGTGTTAATTCCCAGTTTAGTGTAAGCCTTGTTACGGTTGTGAAAAAAGATATTAAAAACCTGTGTGTGATTTGTAAACTACATATCGATCTTTCACAAAACCTTTGTGAAAGTCTACTAATTTGTAAATACTTGTAAATATAAATTTCAAAAGATTTGACTGAGAAAAATGAAAATTAAATTATTTTATTTTTTTACTCTGGCTTTCATTCTACAAATCGAGTAAATATTCTCCTGTTATATTTGAATATAAAACGAGTTTCAATTAATTGAAATTGGATTTTATTGATCTATTTGTCATCTTGTGAGTAAATATCAATTTCTTCAAAGAGCTTTATTATTTGAATATCAAAAAAATCGATACATTAATAACAACGATGAACTTCAATCAGAAATCAATAAAGTACTTTCCAATAACAAATCTGCAAATAAATATGTTGTTTATTTGAAAAGCCTAAAAAACAATTGTGAAGTGTTAAGAATAAAAAAATTGTGTCCGTTTCAAGGTCGCAATTACATAGTATCAGTTATCTGGTGACGTTAATGTTCCAATGGAAAGCTCCGATAGAGAATGGACGTTGATTTTCAATTTTGTTAATTGCTTTATGCAGCCATGCGTCACATCGCTCACATGTAACATTGCTTCATAGAATTTCAATTAAGTTAAAAACAAACTATTCCAGCTATGTTTGCAATCTTCACATTTAAAGACACAACACAAGAAAATATATGTGCAACTAAGTTTTACGAGAAAATTTACGTTATTATTTCTATAAAAATATTTCGAAATAAATACATGAAAACTTTAAACCAAGGTATCACAGAGTCAGGTGTCGTTACATTAATTCTATTAACGGCCACTTTTTAATTAACTAGCGAACTCGTATTGCGATTAACATCGGCACAGGTGTCAGGTGACCAATACAACATACTACGACTTTTACGCTGCTCGCCACAACGGTGACTATGTTGTTAGTATTCCTGAGGATTTCCCGGGACTACAAAATTGCAAATATGTTCTTATATTTAAATATTTGTGTTATTAACCAAATTTACTGGAACTGGACTGGAAAAAATCACTTATTACATAATTTTCATTTACTCCAAAATTTTGCCTTAACTGTCCGGAATAGAATTTGCAATTAATACAATAATATTAACTTTACTATAAACAAAAATTAAATATTTAATAACAGTGATTGCAAAACAATATACAGAAAATTTGTCCAAAAGTTCGTGATCTGTGTGGTCACCCTGGCAGCCAGATGTCCGACGTATTGAGACCCCGAAGTGAATAAATATGAGCGCGGTCGCACTCCGCTGATGCTATGGGATATCGCAACCCCTGCGATTCCCACACGCGTCTCGCTCGCACCCC